ACTATATATGATTTCGGAAGGAAAGCGTGAATTCACGTGAACAGGTGACCCCTCCTACGTACACCCTGTCATCATACCTAAGTTACGAGTCACAAAAGATATTAAAAGCTATGTTTTTTTGCTATTAAGCCACAAAACAGATTTGATTCATGCAATTAAGTTCCACCATAGAAATGATGTGACAATTTATTAATGGTAGTAGTTTAATTATCGCTAAATATGTAATTTTAGAGGCAATTAACACTCTTTATAAATATTCCTAAAGCCTAGAGCGATATTAAATCTAATGACAATCAATTAATGTTAGTAAAAGTTTTATCATTTTTTGTTAATGTATATATATTGACGCGAATGTAACATAGAGAAAGCCAATGAATGGCTAGGAAAGTGGCATCTTCTTGGAGTCTGAAAGGGACAGAGTTGACACCAGTTAAGTTACATAATTAATCAAGTAGCAGCAAATAGGGTTGAACTTGTGAGCCCTTAAACAAAACAAGTTGATTCATCATTGCATTGATTCCTAACGTATGACAACAACTCACATGTATACCTCATCTTTGTCTCTTCCTTAGATTTCAACACTTAATTTAATTAACATCAAATTTATATTCTTAATTACTAATCTTAAGCTCAGATATCCATAACTAACTAGTCTTCCTTCCTGCAAGATAACTAAACACAGACAGAGCATGTGGAAAACTAAAGCAGAAATTTAATTAGGTTGCCTTTTTATTTAGTTAAAGTTGATTAGGTGCCGTTCACAGGGGAATTTGCTTACTTTTTATGATTAGAAAATGAGAAATTAGCGAACAAAATTTCACATTCACGATAAAAATTTCATGCTAATCTCATTTAATTATGAACAAATGATGAGCTATAAAAAAAAATTAGCTAGGAGTGTTTAAGCGACGAATAGCTAGGAATTACCGATTAATTCCGTAGCTAATTCCATATTTAATTTGTTGTAATATAATTTGTTGTCCTGGTCGTTTCAAAGACCGGGGTAATTTATAAGTTCAACATAATTCAATAGTATTGGTCAAGTCTTTGCAATTGTATTAAAAAACAGCTAACATGTAAATATTCAATTAGCTATTTTTTTAGACTTTTAAAACTTATAAACTCAAAATCTTAACTCTCCTCTACTTTTAAAGTCCTTTTTTTTTTCTGGTCTAATGGCCACGAGTCATCCACCAGATTTGGTTTCGTGTCTCCTTATAAATCAAGGATACAATAGTACGAGTCTGTAGAACAGATCCTGTTCAAGTAAGGTGTCTCTACTTTCAAAGTCCAAGACGAAAAGTAAAGTTAAAAATAATAATGGTAGCATATAGTATAAAATTAGTATATCTAATTATAAGGTACTCAGATGACACATGGAATAGTGTCTAAAGAAAACGACATGGTCAATTAATTAAGACAGAAGTTAACAGCTTGCATATAATCAGGTCATTATTAATCGAACCAATAGATAACGTTGACACAATTTTATATGTATTTTTCATCTTGATTACCTCAAATTTGCATGTGCAACAGAAGAGCAACTCCTTGACTTCTCTCATGGTTTGTGTCGTACATTACCGACGGAGCCAAAAAATTTAGTTTATGATTATAAATCACAATCGTTAGTTTCTCAAGCTATGAATAATGCTTAAATATAAATATAAATTTGAACCGAAGCTAATGCATTATGTTGATCCCGCAATTTGCATTGTGGCTCAGTCTATATACTTGTGTGGCCACTAGCCGGCACCATCAAATTCAGCTAAAGTTAGCTAATACTGGCCCTCATTAAGAAATATTTCTAATATTTCCTTATTTTTGTAAATTTTTTATATGCAAGTCTAAAGGAAGAAGTTCTATGATGGTTTATGACAAACTAATAAATATATGATATGTGTCATTTTCTTACCTATAAATATTTAATCACTTACATTAAATGGAAGTCATGGACGTGGTGGGGTTAAGTGTGTGATTCATGAAGCATTTGTTGTTGAAGGAAATGTCATCCTCTTTTTATTTTATTTTTTGATATTCTATTTGATGTCCGAAGCCCCTTATTTGGGAGTAACAGTACTCCACCAAGATATTATTCATATCTAAAACTTAAACTCTTGATACTTTTCACTATGAATGAAACAGTTCTACCACAGCACCATAATTCACGTTGGTGAAACTTTTGTGTGTCATAGCCTCATAGGGAAAGAGAAAGATAGGGAGCAGACAAAGAGCATCTTTACTTGGATTGAGTGGGGACACAAAAGATAAATAAAAGTTAAGAATAGCAGAGTTGCAAAGATAGTAAGTATAGGGGAAAGTACAAAGAAAAAGAGTGTTGTAGATTTGTCCTTATTTTTGGCCGATCCAACATAAGTGCAAGTGCCCCTAATTATCTGTCAGCGCTAACCTCGCACCCCATCACCCCTCTCGTATTTTCCGGTCAAATCATGTGCTTTCCCATAAACATTTTTTTTTAATCACCAAGGAGCGGAGCTAGACTAAAATTTAAATTATTTTACGAAATTTTGTAACTTTCATTAAAATTTCTTATTTGTCATTAAGAAAAATTCAGAAACTTATTTTGAATCTTGAAATTCAAATTTTGACTCGGTTTATGAAAGTCAAAAACAGCTCAACTCTATATTCAAATTTGTGGATTTTGTACTTCAAAAAGAGTCAATAGACATCGCTTGTCGTTGGATTATATTAATTAGCAGCAACCTTGTATTTTCTTTGTTCTCCTTACTGGTCAATGTTTATTCATAAATCATGTACTTGGAAAGTCAAGTTAATTTTATTTGTATTAATAATCATCATAATCCCTAGAAGAGCAACTTATATAATAAATTGAAGAAATGAAAGTGGCAACTGGAGTTACACAGAGTTATAATAAGTAAATAATTATGCAATGAGCTAGACCAAAGGCAGATCACGGGGGAAATTAATTAAATGATGAGATGTAGAAGATGAAGTTACAAAAGACCCGCAAGAAAAGGGGGATTTGATATTTTTGATATATAATGGACCACAGTTTGCTAAAACTGAGGAAAATTAAACAATTTCACACCACTTGAGAAGAGTTTGCACAAAATTCATACATATAATGGTGCATGTGGTTATTGGAAAATGAAAGTGTCCACCCCCCACCCCCCACCCCCACACACACTTTTACCTGTCTCAACTTATTTGTCGTATTTTTCTTTCTCACACTTTTAAGAAAACAATAATTAAAAAGATTTTTTTTTCTCTATTTATATGTCATCTTTTCATAATTGAGATGTTTGTAGTGTTCAAGAACAATAACTACATATTAAAAGTAAAATGGAAAAAATAATAATTTTTTCATAAACTTCGAAAATACTTAACAAATAATTTGAGATAATTATAGTATTCGAAAATTACGATAAATAATTTGAGATAAAAGGAAATATAAATTAAAGTTTCATTTAATTTTGTGGTTTCTCATATTTGGATTTTTTTTCTTCTAAAAAACAAATGGTACTAGCATAAAACAAATGACAGCTAGTAAGTAGCAACATATATGTAAGAACACAACGTTGCAATATGCAAATACTCCGTTTTTTCATTTCCTTTTTATTCTGTATTTGATATTCATTTTGGGACTCGACTAATTTAAATTTACATAGAAAAGCTAAGTCACACTCTGAAGAATACTAAAATTCTCTCTATTAAAAGCGACTAAATTCATATTCAAGAAATAAACTCGTAACTTCTAATTAGAAATAAAGAAGTATTTACTGTTCGATCCAACAGTGATATGTAGTAGTAGTCAAAGATGTATGGTAGGAACATTTAGTTTTGAAGAGAAAATGGAAAAACTTAACCAATCAAGTATAGTATCTACGCATGTGAGAAAGAGAAAGGTTTTTGTTTTCTTGTTAGTCAACGAAAATGAATAAAGTTTTATGGGTCGAGACAGGCCAACGAAATGGACACGAGGTATATTAAATACCAAGTGAGGGATCTAAGGTTTCTACAACTAAACATTTTACATGACCATATGAGAAACATGAAACTCTAAAAATAAAAATAAAATACTTTTACTAATTAAGGACATAGAATTGATAAACCATTTTTTCTCACTTGATGTTTGGTAATCATATTAAAATCCTGATTAATTTGAATTTATATATTGTGTAAGGTCTATTATATTAAATTAAAAGAGGAAATATACTTTCTATTAGTTTATTTTCTTCACATATTCAGAAGTTGAACATAGACCGCTAATTAAAAGTGGAAATAGCATTTATTCGTCCGCCACAATCCAATTAAACATGTCAAAATAAACCTAACACCTTGTGATTTTCATCTAACTCCTATAGAAGAGTATATTTACTAATAACAATAGGAGACTCAATAGAATAACCAAATCATATAAAAGAATCTTGATCTTTTTTAAAAGAGTCAAAATATAAAATAATGCCATAAAATGATATAGAACCAAATGAGTAAACCTTAATTAATTTCCTAATTGTATGCACCACATGGAGGGAGAAACAAAGACAATACTCACTATAGCATCTAATATTTACACCAAACAAATAATTTCACTTGCTACAATGATTAAAAATATATTTTTTGATGTCCAATATTTGCTTTAGAGTCTGACTATTTTAAATTTGTACCACATAGAAACCCATTCAGAGAAAAGTGCTCCCTATCAAAAAAAATTATATACCCAAAACTTGAATCTGAGACATGTGATTAAGAAAAAAGCAGCTCCATCTACTGCACTACATTATTGGTGGCTAAATATGTGCATAAAAAATATGTATCTAAATTGAATGCAAAATAAATTATTTATGGGGAGAGAGAGAAGGGAGGACCCATATTCCACCGCCCATTAGCACGCAGAATATATTACCAAAACCAAACACACATAACCCATTGTATCATATATGGTCGATCTAACTCTCTTCTCATTTTCTTCACCTTAGTTAGCTAAACCCTAACACAAATATACCTTTTTTACTTACTTGTACTTCAATTTTCTTAGCTTCTTCATTCCATTTTTTGAAGAAATTAAGTATAGAATTGAAGTAAAAAAGCTATGGATGATGAAGGAGAGATGTCAAGAAGGCCAAGAGGACGACCCGCTGGATCAAAAAACAAGCCAAAACCACCCATTATCATCAATCGAGACAGCGCCAACGCCCTCCGAACACATATCATCGAAATCGCGGATGGTTGTGATGTAATGGAAAGCGTATCCAATTTTTCGAGAAGAAGACAAAGAGGAGTTTGCATTATGAGTGGAACGGGAAATGTTACTAATGTGAATTTAAAACAACCAGCTTCATCCGGTGAGATTGTAACTCTACATGGTCGATTTGAGATCTTATCTTTATCTGGATCGTTCCTCCCACCACCTGCTCCCCCAGCTGCTTCAGGGTTGACTATTTATTTAGCTGGGGGACAAGGACAAGTGGTGGGAGGAAGCGTGGTTGGCGCGCTTATGGCGTCAGGACCGGTTGTTATTATGGGTGCTTCGTTTAGTAATGCGGCTTATGAAAGGCTACCGTTGGAAGAGGATGATCCGAATAATCATCCTCTTCCAATGCCAGGAGGTCCTCTGGGATCTCCTGGCGGACAACAACAACAATTACTAGGCGGTGACCCATCGATGTTTCATGGGACACCGCCACCAAACCTTCTCAACTCATCAATGCAATTACCTCATGAAGGATATTGGTCAACGGGACGACCTCCTTTCTAACTTGAAGAAACGTATGCGCGTAGCAACGGGTATTATTGTTTGTTGAGTTTTTTTTTTTTTTTTCCTAACTTTTTTTTTTCTATTACATTGAGAGATCAGGAAAATGGAAGGGGGATTATACGAATTGAACTCACACTTATTATGTCGAAGAATTAACTCCTTCCTTCACTCTTAGGAAATATTTTTAGGAAGAGGATTTTTTTCAGGCCGTTGACCATTTGAAGTAAGTTTAATTTGTAGTAATTCTTTCCTTTGAATATTTCTTAGTTTTAATTTACATCTTTTTTGGGACTAGGTTTTTGTATTGTTATTGGTTTAATTAATGATGAAATGCTTGTACTTTGATCAAATTAACTTATTGTAAATTTGATGTTTTCTTGGCGAGTTGTCTCTTGAGCTACTTTCAGACTAAAGCAAGTGTAAAAGAGTTGGGATTTTTAATTTGTGAAGGCTGTATATCTTGTAAGAGATTTACTTGAACAGAAAATTAAGGATACTGCTATTAATTCCATAATCATGATATACTAGATTGCAGTAATGATAACTGATGAATTGAGTACTCATTTTTCAATCGTTTGTTCGGTACCATGAAAAATTTTATTTAGAAAATAACTGATTTCTTACTTATTTTAAGAAATTTGTTTTTCGAAAAATCTTGACCAATGAGGCGTTTAGCCAATTTTGAAAAAAAAAGGGTTATCTTTTTGTTTTCAAAATGAAAAAAATGGTAGTATTTGAAAACTAGAGTTGTGTTTGGCCATTAATATACAAATTGGAATTGGTTTTGAATTATATTGTGAGTAATTTGAAGTGAAAAATAAAAGCTATTTCTTTTGTTTTTTAAATTCCTAAAAAATCAAATTTCCAAAATTTTATGATCAAACATGTTTTTCAGAGTCTCTAGAACAAAAAAAAGAAAAAGTAAAAAAGTTTCATGATCAAACCCAATAAATATGTTACAACTAGTTTGAAATTAACTCTCTCTAACGATGTATTATGTCGAACTACTTCTCGTTAAGTCATGAGTTTTCTGACTACTTCAACGTGTGTGCTTTAGGAGGATTTCAGCTCATAATGTTTCATGGTCAACAATTGATTAATTATTTCTAGGAGGCCATGAAATAACTACTCTTTAATTTAGCATAAGCTTATAATCAGTACTGTTATTTCTGCCATTTTTTGTCTTTCCTAAAGTCACTTTTTGTAAACCCAATTTAATTAACTTTGATTCTTTTTTTTTCTTCCTTTTCTTATCTTGTTTTGATTAAACGAAAATAAAATCCCATAATAAATGAAACCTCACATATATGAAAGAATTCTTTCAGATTTTAAGTTAGAAACAAGATTTTACTACGCTGTAATTGTATCTTGAATTCTTGATCTATTCACCTGTGTTATGAAGATTGCTTTTCATTCTTTTTAAGGTTGCTAAGTTAATGTTCCTATAGAAATAATCATATATTTATAAGCACTAAGCCTTGATCTAATGGACCTCCCCAAATATAATAGGTTTTATTAGGGACTAGGTGAGTATTTAACGAGGCTCGAGAAATCTTAATAACTCAGTCCTATCTTTGTTGGTGAAAGTTTTATTTCCCAATTCCCACCTTGTAGTCACCTCCCATTTCCCTTTCCCCACCCCCATTTCTTTATTTTTTATTTTTTTTAAAAATCGAGCTTAGTCTGTCCTTAGTCCACTCCGGTAATTGAAATTCATGTGAATAATTCTGATTCAACAAGAAATTCAATATATAAACAGTCCAATAATTAGTCATGTTCATCAACTATATTTTGTTTAGCCCGTTTTATTCGATTGGATTTTTCTCCAACCCAAGCTATATAGGTGTGGTGATAGAATTATGAATCTCCCATCATTTGAGTCATATGCAAAGTTTATTTGGAGAAGTAAAATCCACATTTTTTCCCCCTATAAAAGCACAAGTTTGACAATTTGGAGCATTAAATTAGGTAGGTATATAAAGATATTTCATTTATAGATCATTTAAAATAGGAAAATATAGCTAGATATATACATTAGAAGCACTTTCAACTGACTGTTCACCAAGAATTTGTCGTAATACAAACACATGTATGTGCTTTTTCACCATCGAAGAATATGGTGTAGTGGGTGAGGTTGCTCCTTCTTTAATCAGAGGTCTTAGATTGAGCTCGGGGTATAAAAAAATCTTTGATAAGAATCGCTTTTCTCCAAATGCAACCCTACGTGTCGTGAAATTTAGAATGAGACCATACGCAATACGGATCAAGATTAATCGAAATTCAATACAAATATCCAACATCATATTAAGGAAAAATATATGTGATTTCAGCTTGTACATGATGTATGACAGATTTGAGGTTGGCCCATGATAATGAATTTTGGCCTAATTATCTCAACTTTTTGAAACATCTGATTTTATTTTATTTTTACTTTGACATAAAAGTCAAGTCACATTTTAATTAGCAAAAATTGAATTGACGCATGTTTACTTTTGTAATTTCTGTGATATTATTTTACGTCGGTGACTATATGATAAAGTCGTTTAACATTATTATATGATAAAGCGTCCATAAAGAGAAGCTAAGGTAAAGAAAAACTGAAGTTTAATGGATCTTGTGAATCTTCCTTCTTTTCTTTATGTTGACATTTTCTCTTCTTATAATGCCAATAAAAGTCAATAAGCCTTTTCTGCATTATTATTTTCTTTGAAGTAGATTTAGAGGTCATCTGGTGTAAAAATAAGTTATACAAAAATTAGTTAGTTAATTCGTGTGTAGTATTTATTATTCACGTAGTATACATTGGCGATATCTATATAATATTACGACGGGATTAATTTGTTAGTCTACTTGCTAAAAGAAAATTAAAATAGAAAAATTAGATGAAATAATTATTGAATAATTAATTTTTTTATCTAAAATACTTTAATGGACAAATTACTTAACTACACTCCTTTACTTACTTTAATATCCATTTATCCCTACTTATTTAAAAATTTTCAAAAATCTCTTATTTACCTATGTATCCCGTGCACAACGCTATGTATCCCGCTATGTGGAATGTATCAAACGCTATGTATCCCGCTAAGTGGAATGTATCAAACCTAATGTATCCCGTGCACAACGCTATGTATCCCGCTAAGTGGAATGTATCAAACCTAATGTATCCCATGCACAACGCTATGTATCCCGCTATGTGAAATGTATCAAATCTAATGTATCCCGTGCACAACGCTATGTATCCCGCAAACATCATTTTTAAGGGATTTTTGATAAATAGAAAACTAGAATGGATAGGATGTTATTTAGTAATTATAATATGTGGTTCCTATAATTTATACTACTTTAATTAGTATTTATTTACCTAGAATGGTCATTCTGCCCACTTTATTGCTAGGAAGAAGATGCATTAGCCCTTTATTCTTCTTCGAAACTTTGGTCGGCCCACTTTGTTCCATTTTCCTTCTTTCTAATAATAAAAAATTATGGCTATAGCATTTAATTTAAATTAATAGTTTGCTATTTTATATAATTTTTCCTAATAATAAAGCTATGGACATTATCAAGATGCACAATGTAGGAAATTAACATAGAAAAGGAAAAAAAGTCATTGAAGAAGAAAATTGGACAATAGAGTTTTAATATAAAAATGTGAATTATTTCGAATAAATAATATATCAAAATATTCGAAATATGAAGAGTAGCTTATAACTAAAATCTAAAACTGTATAGAAGAGATTTGAGTTGGTCGAAGTTATTATAATGTATAAATATTATATAAACATTGTACAATATATAAATATATATACAACTATGATATATAATTATACATTATATATGTATGATTATACGCTATTTATATAATAAAGATATTAGATATACATACGTCTATTTAATTAAAAAAAATTGTCACCCGTAGAATTATTACATAAGAAGTCATACTAAGATTTGCTTGTTAGGTCCATTAAACTTTTGTGAGATCATATTCGATTCAAATAAAATCGAATAATTCAAGTGGTGCTCCAATAATATCATAGATGCATCAATTTGTTAATGACAGTCAAGATTTTTATAAAAATATATTAATTATTTAAAAATTTTTTTATTAAAAAGTAAAAGAAATTTATAAAACAATTCGTAAGATACAAGTTATGCCTTATAAAACATAAGTTCATTTTCAGAATATTATGCCTTAATAAGTTCATATCCCATAAGGTATACCTACAAAACTAATATAAATAGAGACACAACTTCAATTTTAATTCACACAAAGTTATTCCTTAGGGACATAACTTAGAGGGTGTTTGAATTGACTTAAAAATTGATCAAATATATTTTTAAGTCAGTTTTTTACTTCTAAAAGTGTTTGACAAATATAAAAATAACTTAAAATAAGTTATAAAGTAAACCAAAAGTAGGTCTCCCCTATTTTTTATTTTTAACTTGAAAACTATTTTTTTAAACCAATCCAAACATGCTCTTAATTCTTACATAATTTTTACCGCAAGGAAAAGGTTTTATATCTTGCGGATCATAAACCATACAACTTATGTTATTAGATTAACATAAGGTGAAGTTCTCTAAATCTTAGCCTTTGTAAAATTAGATCGTAGTTAAGAATATTTTGACTCATCACTTCAAATGGAAAATAAAAAACAATTACAAAATAACTATAATTCGTGTAAAAACTTTAATTACATTAAAATTAAAATATTTAAAAAATAGATAAAAATTTATTTAGTTCGACTCACGGAAGGAGGTGGAATAGTTTGGACAAGTTGTACCCCTATTTTGTGGAAACCTGTCGCTGACTAGCTGTAAGCTCTATATACTCTTTCAGCAGCCACCAAAATTCACTTACCTTATTCTTTTTTTTCCTTCCAATCACTGGGTCCCATTCTTCTTCTTTGCTCGCTATAGTCTTCGTTCCTTCTACTGTAAAAAAATCCCTAATTTAGGGTCATTTCTGATGGACCCTAAGTTCGCCGGAAAGCCCATTCAGGCCCAAT